AGTTAGTTTGTTTGTTTGCTTGTTTTAATCAATTTTAAATCATGCTTTTTATTTGTTTTTGTTTCTAATGTCTCTGTAAAGCACTTTGAATCACCTTGTTGTTGAATTGTGCTATACAAATAAATTTGCCTTGCCTTGCCTTAAATGAATTGGAGTAATCAGGTTTAGCAATAAAATATAAGCTTAATATACTAAATATCTCGTCCTTATATGCCCACAGAGCTTTATGTGACACCCCGGGTGTGGATCCTAAATTGATCAGTGAAGCATGGGTGTACAATCACTACAGATGGATTGTGTGGAAGCAGGCCTCTATGGAAAAATCTTTTCCAGAAATAGTGGGCAGCCGGTGTCTCACACCCGAGCAGATTCTCCTCCAACTTAAGTACAGGTATGTGCAACTAAAGCTTGCTCAGATATTTATGCAGTTGTAGGTCACTTTTTAATTTGCATATCTTGTTGACCAATAAGTGTTGTTATGCTTTTCTAACTGCCATTTTGTACGGTATTTTACAGGCAAAATAAATGTTGAAAATATAGACTTTGCAGTGAATTACACTTTTAGCTAATTATGCTGAATACAATGGGATAATGTTAAATGTGGGATACAAATGTTGGCATCTACCTAGCAAAATAGCTGCTAGGTAATTATTGACTCAATTTAATGTATTCATTGCTTTTTTCTAAAACATATTCTGTTTATGTCAGATATGATGTAGAGGTGGACCACAGCCGCAGGCCAGCTCTGAGAAAGATCATGGAAAAGGATGACACGGCAGCCAAAACCCTGGTTCTCTGTGTTTGCGATATCATCTCCAGGGGTCACTCCCCAAAAACACAGAGTCACAATGACACCAAAACCCCTCACAGTGCAGATGCAAAGGTTGAAACTTCAGCTGCACTCATTTGGCTGACAGATGGTTGGTATGCCATTAAAGCTCAGTTGGATGAACCTTTGACTGCAATGGTTCACAAAGGTCGACTGGCTGTCGGGGGCAAGTTGATCATCCATGGGGCTCAGCTGGTCGGATCACAAGATGCTTGCTCCCCTCTGGAGGCGCCTGAATCTCTGATGTTAAAGGTAGTCTAAGACAGAGACCACAACTTTTATCTCTACACAACACAACCAGAAAAGAAGGTGTCTTACTTCCACTTCATGTGTTTAGATCTGTGCCAATAGCTGCAGACCTGCACGATGGGATGCTAAGCTAGGATTTCACAAGGATCCTCGGCCATTCCTCCTTCCAATCTCCTGTTTGTATAGCAATGGAGGTCCAGTAGGATCTGTTGACATTGTTGTACTGAGAAGCTATCCCATGCAGGTGTGCACTGATATATAATCACTGTTAGTCAGATTTGGGTTTTATCCTTTTTAACTCTGTCTAATATGTATTTCTCAGTGGATGGAGAGGAAGCCAGATGGCAGTGTTGTATTCCGTTCTTCACGTGCAGAAGAGAAGGAGGCGAGACGATACAACAGTCACAAACAAAAAGCAATGGAAATCTTATTTGCCAAGATTCAATCTGAATTTGAAAATGAAGAAAAGGGTAAGGATCAGGTTTACAACAAGTTCAACAAGCTGCTACAGTCTGAAATTCGATAAGTTTTTTATAAGCTTTTATCTTTAGGGAGTATCAAACCACAGCGGCGAAGAAAAACAATCAGTCATCAAGAAATTGCAAATCTGCAGGATGGAGAAGAGCTGTATGAAGCAGTGGGAGATGATCCAGCTTACCTTGAGGTAGTAAAACATTTGCTTTACAGATTGTTGGCCTAATTTCAGCTGTGAAGGGTTTTAGTATATTATTTTTCCCCTCTTAGGCTCATTTGAGTGCACACCAGTTGGAGGCCCTTCATACCTACAGACGCTCTCTGATGGAGAAGAAGCAGGCTGAACTGCAGGATCGATATCACCGTGCTCTGGAAGCAGAGGAGAATGAAATGAACTGCCCCAAACGAGAGGTTACACCCGTGTGGAGACTCTGCATTGCCGACTCCATGGAGCAACCCGGCAGGGGTGTGTCTTCATTTGTCTTCTTGTTTGACTCTTTTTTTTTTTTTTTTATAATTACTGTAACTTGCGAACTACGTTGTGCTAACTTTTTTTTGTTTTAATCTTGGTTTCAGTTTACCAGCTGAATCTTTGGCGACCTTCCTCAGATCTACAGTCTTTACTAAAGGAAGGCTGTCGATTCAAAGTCTATAACCTCACCACTTCAGATGGAAAGAAACGTAGCTGTATCGAACCTGTTCAGCTCACTGGGACAAAGAAAACACAATTTCAAGAGCTCCAGGTACTGTAGGAAACAAACTCCCTTTAGCACATGTGAATTTTTTTTTTAACCGTTTATAAATTAAACATGTCATTGAAACTTTTGTAATGTTTCCATTCAGGCATCACATGAATGGTTGACAACATACTTCCAACCAAGAGTTTGCACAAATTTTTTGAATCTTCAAAATCCAGATTTTGAGGCACTGTGTGGAGAAATTGATCTAGCAGGATATGTCATCAATGTTGTAGATGGAAAGGGTAGGTGTTTTTTTTTTTTTGTTTTGTTTTATCACTTGCTTTTCTTACAACTGCTCGCATCAAGTTCGCTGAAAAGTCTTCTTCTTTTGAACACAGGTTCGTCTCCTGCATTTTATTTGGCTGATGAGAAACTAAATTTTGTGAAAGTTCGCTGTTTCAGCAGCTTGTCTCAGACTGGCCTAGAAGACGTGTTAAAACCACGCGTCATATTGGCTCTGAGCAACCTCCAGCTCAGAGGTCAGTCAATGCATCCCACGCCTGTTGTGTATGCTGGAGATCTGACAAGTTTTTCTACAAATCCTAAAGAGGTTCATCTACAGGAATCTTTCAGCCAGCTTAAAACTCTGGTCCAGGTAAGATGCTAAAATCAAAACCTTAAAAGCTGCTGATATTCTTCAGAAACTGCTCTCTCTCACAGCAAAAGTGCTAATCTCCTCAGTACTAAAAATTGTTTTGTAGAAAATGTAATAAAGTAGTGTACTAACATTTTTTTTTCCTTGTTTATCTTCATCTCAGACTTATTTGAGTGCAATAAAATGTTAACATTTTGATCACTTTTGTTTTCTTTTCAGTGTCAGGAGAACTTCTTTGTAACTGCTGAAGAGAAGCTTTCAGAATTAGTCAGATCAAATGGCCTTAGCTACAGCTCCTCTCCAGCTCTCCAAAGACAAACACCAGCTTCTCTAACAGACAGAAGACAAGACATAAAGTCAAGTGTGAGTTTAACTTCATGCTGTGGTATCTGGTGTTTTTCAGTATATCTGTTATAACATAATGTCATCTAGTAATATATCAGTTCTAAGCCCATCATCTTGATTGTGTCTTTTTATACAGGTGATTTCTCAGAAGCCAGGCAGAAACCTTGGATCCGTCACACCTGTCGGCAGGAAGTCTCCTACACCAACATCTTCAGCAGAAAAAGATCCCAAAAGCCTGAAAAGAAGGAGAGCACTGGACTATCTGTCTCGTATCCCGTCTCCGCCACCTCTTTCCCATCTGGGCTCAGTGGCTTCTCCATGTGTAAATAAGACATTCAACCCACCTCGGAGGTCTGTGACACCAAGCACTTTAAAAACTGTACAGACACCATCTCACAAACCCGCTGACTCACTAGGGGAGGATGAATGGGTGAATGATGAGGAACTGGCTTTGATTGATACCCAGGCACTGCGTGTTAATTTAATCTAGATACATACCACTGTGTGATGACAAACACGCTACAGCTTTTCAATTGACTGAATGTAGATGTTAAGGTTCCGTGTGTATATAACACATTTTTTAGGGTTTTTTTGTAGACTTGTTGGCCTCATAAAATGGGGAAAGTAAATATTGAAATCATGTCACTTCACAATGTTTTACAATTTTATACTTGTTTCTGTGAGGTTCCTGCATTCAGTGTTAAATAAATTCAGAATTTTATTCTAGCAGTTTTGGTCTGTGGGTCTGTTTTTGCATTTAAAGACGAACACCTTCAGGGTTGAGAAACTGATGGATTCTTGTAGTAATGTATTGTTGTTTGGGGGGGGGGTACATCCTTACTGCCTTCTTAGGAATTAAGAAGGGAAGTAGCAGCTACTTGCTGTTAATGAACTGTACTTGATTAATTGATCGTCAACAAGTTTGAGCATCTATATAAAAGTACAGCTCGGGTTTGCCAAATTGCATCTGAAATAATCACATAATATAGTTTGGTTGCATTCATTTATACAAGCAAACTTCAATGAACTGAAACAATGTAAAGAAGATATGAGAGGCTGATAAAGTCATACAGAAAAATGATTCCTCTAGACTACAAATGAGCAAATTCCTTTAGTCATTTTACTAAAGGTGGGAACAACTAATTAAGGGTTATTAATCAAGGTAAGATTTGTCAGTTATGTCAAACTGACAAATATTGAGTTATTTTTGGAAGCTTTAAAAAAGGTTCATAGGTACAAGAATACAGTATAACTTAAAGAAATTCACCATATAAAAAAAGTTTGTAATAACCACTTTGAGTGATCTTGATTCAAAGCGTTAAGTATTTCACCACTTTGCTACACCACTAGTGATTAGTTTGTGGAGATGTCACAAGTATATCAATTTGATTTAGCTGTTTTCGCTTAGCTGTAATGCTGACTTGGACTTTTTTTTTTTTTTAATTCTGGTCTCTTTTTTTAAAATTTATTTAGGTATTTTCAATATAAAGATGTCAGGAAGCATTTTATAATGCAGTCCAGGGCAGTGAATAGCAACGGCTAACATACGCTATAGAAACGCAGGCATTATAAAATACAGCGGGACTCGGTGAAGTAGTTACTGCTCTTTGTACCCATTTTTGTCACTACCCGTTGCCTTTCAGTCCCGCTGGTGTCGCTCACGCAACGAGTGGCCAGGATGCCTGCCATTAATAAGAGAATAGAAGAAGAAAGTCACTTCCGTAAACACAAGGCAAGTGCGATTTTGAATCTGCACACCGGTTATTGTGGGTTTCCCCTGAATTTATGCATCCCCAGTATGAACGGTAGGCAACCGTGAATATCGTCAGTTACTCTATTATTTTACGTTTACGTAGTGAACAATTTTGTTTATTTATTTATTTATTTTTCTTGTTTTCTGTGCAACTCGTGTTGTGGCACGTTAGCCAAAGGTTAATGGTTGGCAGAAGACATGGTTTCGATTTTAGCTGATTAATCTACGGTGTGTTTAATCATGTGCACTTGTATTTACATATAAACCCAGCCCAAAAAGCAAGCCAAATGTTTTTGGTGGATGTATATATTTTGTGACATGGGTTATTGACAAAAAGTCTTATACCGTTGGAAAGTCTGTTTATTTCCCTTTAAATTTGTAAGGAAAATGAAAAACTCGCCAAATCTTTTCTGCCAATGTCAAGGGTCTTATTCTGCTATTGACTCATAGTTTGAGCTTCTGGCACCCCATGTGTTGACAATCACGTACCTGATTATCAGCACCTGTGAGCATGGACTCGAATGAGATTTCTCCTATCGCAGTTGGATCATAGAGACAGACTGTGGATAAGATACAGGGAACTTTATGCTGATTGGATAGGGTAACAGCTTTTGGTGGGAACAGTGTGATGATATGGAGTGTCATCTCCCTCACTGTAAAAACAAGGCTTGTCATCATTGGAGGCAATCTTAGTGCAGAAAGATCCCCACAGTCTGGAACTAACCTTTATTCTCCACGATCACAACACTCATCCTGACAGAGCGGGGTTTATCAAAGTCCCATTGAATATTTTTGGGATCAGCTTAGGCTTTGTGGGCGTTTGTGCCAGAACGACCAACACAACCACATTGGCTGACTTGTGACAAATGCTGGTTGACAAATGGGATGGCATCCCACAGCAGTGTGTGACCAAGCTGTTGACCAGCATGAAAAGGAGATGGCAGGCTCCTGTTTGTTTAATTAATAAATTATTAAATTGGCAAAATGCTTTCTTTCTTCAGACTTTAATCATCACACTCCAGTAAATAACACCAAACAAGAGACAGAAGCATAATAAGATGTGTGGCTGGCATCAGCAGAGAAGATTTTTCATGGGTGCAACCTACATATTCAACTCTTCTGCTCGACCCAGAAATGCATTTTCCTTACAAATGCGGCACCATTTCAGGTCAAATAAACAAGCTTTCCACAAGCATAACTCTTTTTTTTTTTTTTTTTTGCCAAAAAGCGTTGTTACAAAGAAATAATCAACCAAACATTTTTCTTACTTTTTCTGCTATGTTTATAAATTGGCATAGCAGCACTGAAAAATCTATAAGATAAAATAAATAAAGCAAAATAATAAGAATAGGAATAACATGCAGTATTATTATGTAGTATTTTTGTGGTGTTTCAATGTTGTAAGTATTCTAATCTGTTTTCATCCAGATGTCTCAGCCTGAATTATGTTGTACAACCTCTGATGCCATAGAAACATCTTGTGTGAGTGAGGATAAAGAAGCTTGTAAAGATGACTCTGCTGACACAAACAGTAAGTGTGTGGGCACTGACGGTGGCGCTCCAGACAGCAGTGTCAGGGACCGCGTGTTAAGGGAGGTAGGATTCACCAGCTCTGCCTTCATCGGTCCAGCATTTCCTCCACAAACAACTGCAGCCGAGTCTGTCATTGAAGACTCGCTGAGTGAGTTTTACAAAGAGCTTGAGAAGATCAATACCCCTGATGGTGCTAATGGTAACCCAGGGAAACAAGATGCAGCTTTTGATCAGCCACTTGTACCTACTAAATTACCCACCAGCAACAAAACTCAGGATGTTCCTGAGGAGAAAATTGCTAACATGAGGGACTTTGAAGAAACAGATGGCTCCCAAAAACGCAATGGAAGAAAACAGCCAGCATGGCCTCACTGGTATCAAAATGAGCCATACAATCCCAGGAGGCAGAGGCCAGGCCCGGAGCTGAGCTCTCCCCAGTGGCGTCATCCACAACCACTGGACAGGCCACCACACCTGAGATTTCAGAGCCCACCATTCCCTCACCAACCACCACCGTATGCATTCCCAAATCTACAAAACCCACCACCACATGTGAACCCTACCTTTCAACATCCAAGCATGGCAAACCGCTTTCAAGAGGAGCTGCGGTTTCCACCTTTTTATAGATTCCCACCTCCAAATGTTTCCAGACACCACTCTCAGGGATTTTATGGAGGTCCTCAACATCAGTTTGACAGGGATGTGCATGGCTCCAGCTATGATGGACACTCAGCTAATGAAAATGTCAGGTGGCCTAGAGATAGAAGTGAAGAGCTCTCTCAGTTAAATGAAGATTATGACAGGCTCCAGAGATGTGATTCAGAAAATGAACCTTGGGAGCGACAGCACTACTATCAGCCGCGTGACGACACACATGCATGCCATTCAGCCCTGGTGCTGATCTTGATGCGGGGATTGCCAGGATCTGGGAAATCCACACGTGCCAGGTAAATCTGTGTGTAATCTTAATTTAATTTCGATCTATTTATTCTTATCTTATAGCTTAAAAACAGCAGTTTGACACCGATTGTTTCCCACAGGGAGCTGCTCTCCACTGGCCCCAGTGGGATCATTTTGAGCACAGATGATTACTTTGCACACAAAGATGGCTACCACTATGATCCTAGTCTTCTTGGAGCAGCACATGAGTGGAATCAGAGAAGAGGTATTGACTCATTACAATTTCAGTCATTTAATACGAGTAAAGCAACCACAGTGCCTCTGTACTGTAGTGGTTTACATATTCATCTGACAAAAAGCAAGATCCCCCGGTCTATAGAGTATTTTAAATGAATCAGCCACAACATTAACACACTCAAAAAAGAGCCTAAGGCATTTACACGGTCTCCTAAACATCTTGGTAACCAAAAGGATTCATTAATGGTGCCTGATATCACAGGAGACCCCTGGAAGTCCCTAATTGGTTAGTGTTGTTTTTGTGTGGGTTGGCCTACACATTTTTCATACAGGTGGTTTTAATGTTGTGCTAATGTGCGAGTGTGTTTATTTGAAGAGATGTTTCAGCTATCCAGCATTTAAAACAGAAATGTTAAATAGGTGACTTTTTCACTGATAATGTGTGAGCAACATGGGGGCGAAAAGTGATTGTCGAAAAAAAAAAAATCAAATTAAATGGAACATAAAACAAATTAAACATTTTGGTTTAAAAACAGTTTTAATTTTCTTGCCAGAACTTGTCAGAATCTTTTCTTAATCTTCTCAGCTAGAGGTGCTCTTCATGATGGCCGGTCTCCCATTATTATTGATAATACAAACATTCAAGCCTGGGAAATGAAGCCATATGTCAAAATGGTAAGTGGCCATACTAAATATTTATTATTATTGTTGTTGTTGTTGTTTTTATTATTAGTTAATATTTCATACCACTTTCACTAATCCTTCGAATTCCTCCAACTCCTGCATCAGGCTTTGGAGAGCGGATACAAAGTTGACTTTTGTGAACCGGACACCAAGTGGAAATATGATCCTTACGAGCTGGAGAAGTATGATTTCTGACTCATGATATTAAAATGCTGTTAGACATAGTTTAGACTTCACATTCTAACATTATCCTCTTTTTTTCTTTTTCTTTTACCTCCAGGAGGAACAAACACGGTGTTCCTCAGGAGAAGATCGCGCAGATGATGGACCGTTTTTCTATTCCCATATCCATAGACATTGTCATGAATTCAGAAGAACCGTTTCATGTGAACCAGAGACGTCAACCAGAGCAGCCACAAATGATGAGGAAAAAGCCAAATTTACATAATTTCTAAGACAATTTAACAGCTTCGTAATTTACCTTGTATGACCATTTTTAGAGTAAATATTGTGATTTTTATAATTTGTACCTGTTTTTAATATATTACTTTGTATACTGTAATTTTTTTCTAAGAAAAGAGAAAAAATATTTTTCTGAGGAAATTAAAATTGCAATTTAGTATGTAATAACAGATTTTTACAGTATGCGTATTCTTCACATTACAGAACAACAGTGAAAACCAGGAGTTTGCCCTGTTTTAAATTTATTTTTTTACTCATTTACAAGTTGTTCCAATTTTTGGTGAGCTTGATCAGTGATTTATCATCTTGGTTGTTGTTCTGTTTCTTTCTTTCTTTCTTTTTTTTTTAGCTAGAAATTGTTTCTTCCTGCGACATACACCAATAGGCAGATTTTCAGTGCCAAAATAGCCAAATATAAACATTGATATGAATTTTCTTTTTTAGTTTGTTACACTGGTGTTGTTCTTACATAATTAAAACATTGTTGGTCCAGGATCAGTGTTGCAACTGACCAGTCCTGTTGTCTAGGTATTTAGTTAGCATTAGCCAAGAAGCTAGCTAATGCTATTAAAAACTGTCACAAGTAAACCAATATGAGTAGCTAAATTTGGCTAACAGCAAAAATAACTTGATAATATATTGTTATATAGCATACATTAATAAAGGAAACACTTGAAGTGCTTTCTATTTGTTCCAGAAGAGAGTTTTACATAAGCAAATGTTGATGCAGGAACAACACCAACATGGGAATATCACACACATTGTGTGTCTGTGTGTATAAAGAAATTTAGTAGATTCAAGTATACCCTCTGATTTTATTAGTTTGCAGAACCACCTTTAGCAGCAGTAACTGAAGTCGCAGAATTTCAGCCAAGCTTTAACCGTGAGACAGTTGACCTCACAGCTCACTCTAGAATACTTTGGTATACAGAGGAGTTTTTTGTAAACTCAATGACTGCAAGACGCCGAGGTCCTGTGGCTTCCAAATGAACTAACTCACCCCTCTGCCACTGTGCCTGACAGCCGGTATGAGGTGTTTGCTGACATGCTGTGTTGGATGTTCATCAGTAGCGGCTCTATAATTTCTGCATTTTTGTCATACTTTATGTCTCCAAACGTCATTGCCCCAGAAGTCCTGTGGTTTTTCAGATGCAACTTTGCAAATCTAAGCTGTGTTGCCATATTTTTAGAGAGATGAATGTTTTTTCAAATAATATCAAATAAGCCATACGTGTTCAGTCTTTTTATATTATACTACCATGAACTTTAATATTTAACCTGCTAACTGGGGCCCGAAGAGGCTGAGATTGAGCTTTTTTGGAGACTGCAGACTGCCAAACTGCTTTTATTGAGGTGGTCACACTTACTGATTGGTCAGTTAATTAAGTGCATTGAAGCAGCAGCACCTGGCTGCTAAATGCCCTCTTATTTCCTATCAAAGCAGTAAATATGTACTGTCTTTGTGAAAATATGTGTAAATATGTCTTTGTGAAAACTATTTACTGCTTTTTTTAGGGTAAATATTTTATGGCAGCTAGTAGAACAGTTTCCTAGCAGAAGAGCTTAAGCCTTAACAAAACAGACTGATTCTGATGTCTTTGAGTTAAAGTGTTGGTGCATAATGTTTGAAACCAATTGAAATTTTCTAATTTGAACAGGATGGTTCCTGTTTTTCTTCTGTTCATAGTCGTTATTAGGAAATCCTTTCCTAAGCTGTGCTGAGTCCAAGTGATCTAAAAAAGTGTGCCTGAAGCTAAAATGAGTGTCCAAAAAGTCAGAGTTAAACAAATCAACCTGATAAAAATCTAGTGTTTCTTGTATAAAACAGATTCTTTGTGTTTCTTTGTTTGGGTGGATGAAAGGATGAAAAAGAACCTCATCTTGGCTCCTGGTAAACTTTTAAAAACATGTTGTTTTTTTTAAACAAAGGCCTGTAAATTGTAATCAGCATAAACAAAAATTAACCCTGTCAGTGTGCAAATGGACAATATTGTTTCTGTCTGCTGGCAGACTCAAAATTGGTGATCCTGCATTTTGTGTGCTCATTTGTGAAAGCGAAGCAGTAATAGGTGTGCCTCCAGTTAAAAACTGTTGCGTCTTTGTAAACACAATATGCCTCACGGACAGTTTGCCAAAGAAGAATAACCCATCTACAGCTGCTGCAGCCAATTACTGTAGGGAAACATTGAGTAGAGACCCTATTACTGTAGAAACTCTGATATAGCGCTAAACACCAAGTGTGGAGAGGTCTTTGTCTGATAGCATTCAGTGTTCATTACTGTGTGTCTCACAGGAAATCACATTTCACCCCACTGTTCCTGCTGGTGCTCATTAATGCGGCACAGAGGTGATGTTTTGTTTACTCTTTTCCCCCAATCGTTGTTGTGTGGGGAACCAGAAAGTTTTTTCTACACCACAGACTATATAGTTAAATGTGTGTCTGCAGTGTTATACTGGTTGAAAATTTTGTTTTTAAGAAAATTAGGTCGTGTTTTTGGAACTGGGACTAACATGGGACAAGTTGGTATTTGTCTTTGGGATCTTCATGTGACAGATCTGAGTTAACTTTCCTGTTTCTCTGCTTCACATTTTGCTGCACTGTTGTATGCTTAAGAACAGCATACTGATAATTGGATGCACATAAACTGAGATTTAATCCAAATGCAGTATGTGTTGGTTTGAGTTAGAGAAAGGGATCAGTGAAGGGTGAAGAAAATACCAGCGAATGAGAGTGGGCAAAGGATTATTGTCCAGAATGAAATGCCACTGTGAGGTCACACTTTTTTACCAAATATTAACTTAATAATAGGAATCCACGTGACTGGTTTCACTGGTCATAGTTTTAATTCTCTTGAAGGCAGTGTTTCCAACTGATGCTCTTCCAGTCTTAAAAATATGTGTTTAGGGTTAGTTATTTGTTTTTTAGACTGCAGTATTCAGCATACTGCAGGTTGATGTGATATGTAAGATATGCAATAATCTCTCTGTTTCAGTGTTTGTGGAAGTTTTAAGACTGAATCTAAGTCTTGCACAAGCTTGATTTTTGATTTTTGTAAATGATTGCCTTATTTGTTTAAAGGGTTATTCTGCACGGAACTACAAAAAAAAGTCAAGGCTAAACTGTGAAAATAAATGGTAGGAAGGAAACCCATAAATTAGATTTAACTGGTAAATAAAAACGTATTGAATTTTAAAATGCAGAGCTGGCCTCAAGTATGTTCAGTATTTAAAAAGGCTAAGACGTCCTGTGAGTCTCCCTAAGATATAATCTGACCTTGAGTCAAGAGAATCAATGAGGAGGCCCTTTAAAGGGGATTTCTAATGGATTTGCTTTCTGTCTTTTGATGTGAGTGCAGCCCTGTCTGCAGTGAAGAGTTAGGCTAAATGGTCAAAAACTGCTATTAGATTTTCTTGCAAAATGGGTGCCCGGGGCAGAAGAACAAGATGAAAAGGCTTTAATGAGTAACTCAAGTCAATAACAAAGAAAAGAAACCGTTTTAAATTTAATCTAGACTTCACTTTTTAAAGAGAAATTACACCCTCCAAAAACATTTTCTATAAAATTAAAGGCCCTTTGGTTCCACCCTTGTTAGAATAATAATGCAAACAAGCTTGAATTAGTTATTAAAAGTCTTATCAGACCAGGAAACAGTAGACAACTGTATGTTGTCACAATTCGGCTCAAAATGAAGGCCTCACATAGAAGATGTTCGTTATTTTAATTAAAGTAATAAAACCAAAGATAGTATGCTTGATTGTCAGCTAATTAATATGTACGCAACGTCTCGGTGAACTGTAAATGAATGAGTGACTGTATGCATGCAAAAATAAAAAGGAAAACCTGAGATGCTCTGTCTGTCAGTAAGCCAGCATGGGGGAGAGCAGCAGAGAAGAGCCCCTGAGAGGTTTCGACAGCCCTGCTTTATAGTGCAACCCTAACTAGGTCAGCTTCACCCACCTGTTACCTAGAAGAGAGGCAAAGACACAGCCAAGAAGGAAAAAAGCTGGTCTTGTGGCCGTCACTGTAACAGAATAAGACCTTTGAACTTTTAAATCACAAACATCAGTGCTGAGCAGCACAGCTGTCGACTCCCTTATCTTTAATGTAAAAGCTTTGACCTTTGTAATCCTGGAGCTGTTTAACAAGTAGGACCTCGATGAAGCTCGTGTCTGAATGCTGATATGGAGAGGGTTATAGGAAACAGTCCATTTCCAAAGAAAAACACGATTATTCTGATGTCATAAAATCTTGTTTTGAAGGAGGATTGTTTCAGCAGCTGTCTAAAGAGGACCACATTTACACAGAGATTGCAGAGGCAGGGATCTACATGGCGTTTTTATGATTTCTATTGACATTTCTATTTCATGGTCCATTATAATGGGGCGGAAAAAAGCACTGAAGACTTTGCAGTGCATTGTTCGTTCTGTAGGGGCAGCCTTTCAGTCACTGACCTTCTACAGGCACACTTAGAAATGATCGTTCTATAAATAGCAGGGATAAGAAGTTATTATGACTGTATTGGTGGCTGGATTTAGCAACTCCAACAAACCCTTATCCAATGGAGTTACAGACCACTGCTGATATATCTCATGCAACAGTACTGGCCAGCAGTATTTAAAAACTACCTCAGAATGTACAGAAGATCACTGTAACACAATTTGCTACTCAATTACAGGAAGTCAGGAAACAGGAAAACTCATAATTTGAGCAGGAGTTACCACACCCACACTTCCTCCTGTTACCACAAAGTCACAGTCTTTAGTTAACAACAACCAGTTAATAAATACAGCAGCAAATGTTTTGGTGATACAGTCTGTAGGGAGCAGGCTTGGACTGAAAGGTGCCGGCTTAAATCAATGAAAGGCAAATACTATGAGATAATGTCTGTCCCTGGGAAATATTTTCTGCTGCAGAAAAATAGAAATCTGCGTGCTGAGGACTCATAAGTGTCCTTGATATATAACCATTATGAAGGATGCCGTCTGTCTCCTAACTGAATTCATGATTTAACAGAGTGTTTGAAGAGACTAAAAGTAATTACTGTTGTTTAACAGCTGCTAAACCTCTGCTGAGGGGACATCTGCGTTTCTACTTATTTTCATTAGCCGCCAGTTTAAATGTGTTTGTACTGTGTACTTCTCGGGTGCGGAGGTGCGCGTCATTTTAATGTGAGAAAGCCTGCAGCAGAATGGAGCAAAAGTGTGCTTTGAATGATGATGATGTAGGCAGCTGTGATGAGTGCTCTGTGCTCCCTAAATGGCAGTGATGAACCATAAATACGTTTCTGCTCTTAAGCATCTCAGGAACAAAAATGGCAGATGAATTCACAGCTGACATGGGAAGCAGAGGACAAGGAAAAGTGGATGTGACAGGCTAATGTGCACTAATTATTACCAGAGTAGAAAACACATTAAGTGGCTTAATGGTGTGGAACTAAAAGCTGTTTAATTTTTTTTATTTAGTTTTTAATATATGCAGTTCTTGTGTTATTATAACCTTAGTACCATATCATTGCAAGTGGAAGATCAGGATGAACAGGATCCTGTAGCTCACCCTTTGTACTTGGTGCTAATGAGAGTAAGTGCTATTTACAAAGCAATAAAAAATGGGGCGATCATATCTCATTGAGGAGCCTGTAATAGTAATTAATTAGCAATTAATACCAACATGTAGGTGAAACTGTAAAAAACATCTTATGGATTACTGTCAGTTTCTACTTTAATTGAATGAATTTGGGGGGGTTTTGTCAGTTTTTATTGCAGCCTTGGGATGAAGTCAGGGACTTTGTAAAAGTTAAAAGCCATTAAGGGAAATGGGAAACGGGTGAAGCATAAAATGAAGGACCTCATGTTCTACCTGTCACGTTGTTTATTGTGGTTGTCACGTGAGGCTCATAGCCAATGACAGCCATGCTCTGCAACCGCACAGGGTGTCATCTTTTTACACGCTGAAAACCCATCAGTTGTGTCAAGTTATATACAAGAAGAGCGGATGCTGCATGGCGTGATTTTCAAAATAAAGGCGCAAGGGTGTGTCTTTTGTTATAGAAATCAGTAGTGGGCTGAATAGTGAAAATACATGAACATCCAATGACTGGACAAGGAGTAGGATCTTTTATATACATATCATTACACAAGTACAATTTTGATGGTTTTAGTTCTGCCTAAAATTATTTCTAAAAGTTGGTATTAGTCTATCAAAGTCAAATGAAGGAGCATTGCATCATCTATAATACAGAGGTACAAAACCAAGCTTAATTTCCATCAAACAGCTGGGAGATAGGAATGTTTGAGCAGATGAATTATTGTTCCCATAATTAATTATTCAAGAGTTGGTGTAGCCATGTGGCATTGTTTCTGTTGTATAGATACTGACTAATTGGTTTGGGCATCTGACACGAGGGTGTCACGAGAGTGGGTGTACTGGACAAAGGATGCTGAAAATGAAGCTGCCAGGCAGAAGGAAAAGAGGAAGACGTCAGGGCAGATTCATGTATAGTGAAGGAGGACCAGCAGAGCGTTTGTGCGACAGACGAAAATACTAGTGATAGGGTGAGATGGAAGCAGGTGATCTGTTGGTTAAACTGCAACATTATCAGTTTAACTATCTTTCAGTAGTCCAGGTATCTTTTTTCCTTTTAAACCCCTGTACCTAATTTCTAACTGTTTTACAGAATTGAATGTGTAGGTTTTGCTAGTTTTACTGGATTATTGTTGGTCCTAATTGTATTTTTAAATCATTTCTACTCCATATATTTGTTTTAATTCGTTTTAGTTGTGTATTGTTGGGGGGGGGGGGGGTAATTTACATTTCGTTTATGAGGTTAACATATGGGATTTCTCATTTTCACCAAATCATTGTTACTTTTTTCTTTGATTTTCGGTCATTGCAGTTTCTTAGTTTGTTGTCCTATTTTGGGTTGCTTTAATTTTGAAACACGTGACCGGAAGTTTTGCCCTATCTTTTCATTGGCTTGACAGGTGTGGAGCTCCCAGTCCTGGATTTGATGCCGTCCTTCGGCCAGTAGACTTCTGGCGGTCACACGCCGCACGTTTTTATCTTGCTTTTTTTTAAACCGCCAGCACAATGTGGTTGTTGATGAGCTCGGGACCACCTTAAAGAGCACCTTCCTCTGATCCACATTACAGGTGGATCATATAGATCTATCGCATGTGCGGAGAGGGAAGTTTACCTCCACCGACCCGAGGCTAGAGGCGGATAATACAACGGCAGTTTATACGGTAAGTGATTTCGGCAGGGAGGCTGTGCAGTTATTGACACGGATTACGAGAAAGCTGTTTATGAATTGCAAATAAGTTGGTTACATTTTTGTTATTAATGCAATTCAGTATTTAAACTTTAGGCTGGTATACATCAGTTGCACATATATCAAAAGAAACTTTGATTTGGACTAAAAGTTGCAGCTCCCCGATACAGAACAAGCCCGGTACCCCACCCATTATTAAATATAATATAATAATATAATATCTAGTAATATAGTTCAATACGGGGCTCATTTAAATCTTGGGCGATTAATTGAATTGCAGGTTACTGTCCAGAGATTTCATCTGTCTGCCTTTGAATATATTAACTTGTTATTTACTGCTCATTTTACTAATGAGGAGGTCTGGTAGAATAAACCTCAAGATCTCTGCCCACATGTTCACGCTGGCATGCTTCACGGTTAAACCTGCTCTCCTTGGGCTCCCCGTGCTCAGCCGTCGCAGCCCTGTCTGTTCATACAGTCCTAACACCACTACATCACATAAAAGCACAGTGGAGGTCTGAGCTTGTTAACACGGCCTAGGAACGCATATTTAAAGTCACATATTCGCAGAATAGTGTACTCAGTGGCAAATGTTGTACGCAGTGGATCATGTATGATGAAAATATCTAAGTTAATATCTAAGTTATTGATTACTTACAGAATCTGTGTACAGAAAATGACTAAAATAATGGCTGATTTTTACCTTTATCCCCTGAATGCCCTGCACCTAGGACAGATCTGTGCACCAGACGTTGTCATCTGATTTAATTTTAGTTCCCATTGTCATTCAGAGGTAAAGCTCAGAGCCTGCCCAGCTGCTGGTTACATAATGTCAGCTGAGGACTGCCACAGTTTAGTGAGCAGAGGGGGAAACTCGAGTGGAATTGAGCACAGACAACACAGAATGAGGCCAGATTACAGCGTTACATAAGGGATGTTTTACTTCCACTTGGCTGAGATGGTGCAGATGATGGTGGTCCAGAAATAGGTCTGAGCAAAGGATGCGGCGTACACTATATTTACAAACGGTGGAGTGAAGACAAGCTTGTTAATGCACAGAGAAGGCTCTGATTGTCAGGTCATAAAAAGAGATATTTGTGTTTCATGTAGTGCAAGTCGGGCTTTGTTACTAATATCCTGTGGTAAATGTTTCCAGTAATTTTCATTGTGTGCGCACTGAATGGGCAATAGTCTGTATTACATTCAAGGACATACCTAATGCCTTTTGAAAGAAATGGAGCCCAAATGTCTGGTGGCTTTCCTCCCTTCTAACCTTAACAAATCATCCTATGGCACTGCATGGTTCAGTAGGTTGCAATGGTCTGAACTACATCTATTAATGTTGATTTCTTTGCTGACAGTCTGTACATGCTTCTGTTTACTGTCCAACCTGAAGTGATAGAAGGTTAAGTGGGTTGAAATTTTGTATTGTACAATGCAGTTACAGATAAACCTCAAAAGTAAACCCATATTTGCTGTGCACATTGATTTTACGACATATGTTAGCAGTGAATTTCTGCTGGGATACATAGCACCACCAGCTCTCATCTATCGCAGCCGATTGAAAACAACTCTTATCTCCCATCTCCGTGTCACACAGAGCGGAAAGTCTTTGTCACATTGCTCAGTACAGGGGGAAAATGAGAAGAGTCTTATGGCACACACTGTCAGTGATTTCAAAGCAGATAATTTGCAAGCAAAAAAGGCAGTGTTCAGCACTGATTTAACAATCACTTGTTGGTTAATAGTAGTGTGGGTACAAAAGATGTTGAATGCAGATAAAAACAGAGACATCTTCTTTTCTGCTGGCCTCGTCAGGAATCAGCCATTTATTTGTTTTTGCCTTTGAAAGTGTATTTCCACTGTTGATCCAAGACTTAATGAGTCAATTTAGGAATTTAAATGGGAAGCTGTATTTGTGGAGAATAGTAGAGTTAGTGTTCTGCGTTGAGGTCAGCTGTATGTTAACAGTATAAGTATGCAACAAATCATGGGCTAAATTTATCCAGGATAAGATTTTTAAGGACAGGGGGGTTTGAAAGCTTATAATTATTACAGTTTAATTAATTTATTCAGCATTACAAACATGCAGTTTGTACACATGTACTTCTAAAACTTCCTTGAAGTCAACATGTGATCGAAACTGTTTTGTGTGGGTTTGCTTTGCATGAAATTAATTAAACCACGACACAATAATCAGAAAGATCAAATAAGAACTCTGAATAGCCAGATATTCTTGTCCATTTCTTTTTGTGGCATATTTTTCTCCCCTTCTGTACCTTAATGGAGTGCACAATCCTTCACAGCTATTACAGCACTATGTAACACAGTGGATCATGAATGTTAAAGATGATGAAAACAAAAGGTGAAACAAAAAGATCCAAAAGAGTTGAATTCATGCCAGAGTCATTGTTTTGGATTTCATTAGTTTTTTATGGGTGTGCCTAGTAAAGTGGCCAGTGGGGTTAGTGCTTGAGGGAGCCACAGCAGCAGCACTGCAGGAGCTGTGGGCTGCATCCTAATAAACTGGGATGACTGCAGTGGGAGCTGTGAATAACACAAACGTCACAATTATGCAACCCCTGAAATTTTCTGTCGAGTTTGAAACTCTACAGCGTGTCCCTGAAGTTTACATAATGTCGGCATTACATACAAATATGCTTGAAAAGAAAACTATAGAAATGTGGGCAACAATGTCCTGTTGTTGTCAAGGTGGTTGCTGTGAGCTGTAGATTTGGGGTTTGCTGTACTGTGTTTATAGATAAAAACTCAAAGTGTCTCAAAGTCAGAGTCATTATCCAAACATTAGATGGCCTGAACTTATATAAATATTGTCCAAGATACTACAACGTAGTAAAAGAATAAGCTAGATTGATGCACAATTGTGGGTACGTTCCTTTCCATGCACAATATTGTACTCAGGGCATCATCTTAAGCGATAACTTTAAAAATAGTCTCTTTTAATCAATTAACTTTTATGAGCAAAGTGTAGTAAACCAACAAACAATCAGTATTTGGCCTGGCTAAGCTATAACATATTGATATTCAGTACTGCTGTGCTTTATTTCCATGGAAATTTTAAAGTCTTTCTCAGGATTAATGAAGGTCACATTAGGTAAACGTACATCTTACAACAAAAGCTAAAGTCCAGACCTTCCACTGCATGTGACAGTGAAAGAAATGCTGCGATATATATAAACCCCAACAGCAGCATAATGCTTACTTACAGAGTGTGACGGAATCGATGAAAATCACTCACTCAAACATGATTCATGTTTGTTTTGCATCCTGTTACTGACACAAAAGTGATTTATGTGTTGACCTTTTGCTTCCCCGTTACTGTAAAACCGATTTCTCACAGCTGCTGTGGACATGGACCTGCTAAGAGCTTGGTGAGATGAGGTGTGCCTATTTGCGGTGACTTGGTTAGTTAATTTATATCCTGTAGTCTGTGTTTTTCCGCAGTTACATACTCAAAGTGACAAATTATACCTGACTTGTATTCATAGAGCAGAACCTCACTGTGCACTGCTGGATGGATGTGAGAGAGTGCACTGATTCAGCTGGTACTTGAAGTACAAAGCAGAGGGTCTGATATTAAATTACCACCTGACAGATGTTTGTGTGTCCGCTGATTATGGTTTTGAGCTGACCTTGTGGGACTTTAACAAGCATGCAGAGAGGGTCTCCACTGTGCCATTTCTATTTAACAAGTCCACACTATCACAATATTTTTTTTTTCATGGTGAAATTCACAGTTTAATGGAAATAACCAAAAAGACTCTTCTCCCTGCAGTCATGATGCTCTGAGGCCACTGCATGAGGCCGCCTGGGCGAACATGATGGAGGAGGCTGCCAGCCAGCTTGAAAGAGATCATGTACACAATGTCTACGACAAGATTGCTCCATATTTCAACGACAGCCGCTATAAAGCCTGGCCGAAGGTACGGCAGTTCCTCCTGGAACTGCAGCCTGGGAGCATCGTTGCTGACATTGGTGGGTCTCCAGCACTAATGTGATCCTGAAAGTCCAATTACAGCTGGCTTACATTTCTTGTGTTATGTTGTAGCTGACTGTCTTGTCTTTCCAGGTTGTGGTAATGGTAAGTATCTCCACATCAACAAGGACGTGTTCAAGCTGGGGTGTGACGTTTGTCGCCCCCTGGTGGATTTTGCCTGGAGCCAAGGACATGAGGTCCAGATGTGTGATGGGCTGCATTTGCCTTACAGAGACAGCTGCTTTGATGCTGTGCTTTCTATTGCAGGTAATGGTCAGAACTATAAGCAGTTATTATAGATGAGATAAGAGTTGTTTTTTTTTTAATATTTCACTTAGTAACAAATCACTCCCTTCATATGCATGAGCTCAAACGCCGACATCTACCTCAAATTAAGTTAACTCATATAATGATAAACATCATATTACCACAAACTTGCGTTGCCAAGCCAACAGTGTGAAAAATAATTATTGTGTCCTACCAAAAAAAAGAGTGTAATTAGGTCCAAACCAAACAGCTGCACTATTCATTTATCTTCCATTATACACACAGTGTACATGATACCTCATAAATTCATGCTTAAAGCTGACAAATTCATATTTTTGTCACAGTCATTCATCATCTGTCCACCAAAGAGCGTCGTATTCGAGCAATAAAGGAGATGGCTCGCACTCTGCGAGTGGGCGGACGCATTATGATCTACGTGTGGGCCATGGAGCAGAAACGTCGTAAATTTGAGAAACAGGACATCTTTGTTCCTTGGAACCCCAATCCTCAATTCCTTCCCGGCCTCAACAAACCGAGGAGGAGAACCACAGCACAGAGCGTGAGCGAAGCCATAGACAACACTGAAAAGCACAGGAAGGTTAGAAGCACATCCTCTGTGGCAGACGAAGAAGATCTTGGTCGCACTACACCACAGCAGAGGACACACAAACTGTGGTTCTTCTCCAGGTCTCTTGATTCTGTGTTCGACTTCGGAAGCTTGGGGATCTCCCGTTCATCCTCCAGAGACATGAGCACTTTATCTTCACCCACAGGTGAAAATGAGGGGAACAAGTTCAACCTGAGCGGGAGAGGACGAGGGCTTATCAAGCAAGTCTCAAGTTTCTTTTCTCCGCCATCTGTGGTCGGATCAGAAGAGGATGTCTTTGTCACAGAGCAGCACAAGGGACCGAATAATTCTGGAGGCAATGGCACCACTAACAACAGCAGCGCAGTGTCTTTAGTCCAGGAGTGTGGCTCTCTGGCTCTACCAGATCTAGTCTCCTTGCAGGGGGAGGACCTAAAGCAGTCTGGAGATGAAAGAGATGGAGGGCTGCTGGGAGAAGAGCTGCAGGAAAGCACACAGAGTCCTCAGGGGAGTGAAGGGCAGGTGGAAGGCTCCTGCCTCAGGTACTACCACGTCTTCAGGGAGGGCGAGCTGGCAGAGCTGATAGCGAATCATGTCGAAGAACTTCATGTTAAACACACCTACTTTGATCACGCCAATTGGTGTGTGGTGGCAGAGAAAGTTCAGGTATGGAAAATATGACCGGAACTTGTCATATTTGAGTTCACTTTGCATCGCCTCTGCCTCAAGTTTTAGCACTGAATTCCACATGTGAGAATAATGACATTCTTTTCATTTAAATGTGCAAATGTAGCCATTGTTGAAGGTCTATGTAACACTAACATTCTCCAGTGCTGTAATTCTCTCATGAACTATTTAAAAATGAGATTTTTATCCATGTATTTATTTTATCCTGGAACCAGCTATATGTCAGAGCTTTTGGAAAGCAGCAAATAGATATTTTATGGAAGTGTTCAACCGTGGCCGTTACTGTATGTTGTACCAGATTATTTTTAACTATTTATTCTTTTTCAATAAATCTACAGTGTGTCTTTTAGAGTCGGTGTTTTGTTATTTAACCCTAGTGGGCTGCATCACAGCTATTGATTTGTATTTTAAAAGAACATTTCTTCTCTTTGTGCTTTAAATATGAGCAGAAGAGAAATGTACAAAGCTACAGCATACTCTTCCCTCTGCTTTTATCTTTTAATATATTGATTTCAGTAGAGAATTCTTTCTTTCTTTGTGTCTGCAAAATCGCATGCTGCTTATCTCTCATTAAAAGGAGCCAAATTTGCAGCTAGTATCAGCTGCGGACTTCTTGGTAACGCTTCCTGTGAAACTGCTCGTGCGTACTTTTTCATTGCACTCTCATACAAGTTTAAAATTGTGCAGAATCTCTTCCGAAACATTAGTGCCATTTTCTTGTTGTTTTACTCTACAAGTGTTCCAGACGACATGTCGCCAGTGGGCGTGTCTGTGTGTGTGCGCGCCCTTGATGTAGATATTTGCAATAGTGGCATTGTGTCTTGTAACAATTTGGTATGTCTCAGCAAATCAGAAAACTGCCTCATGTACTGTGAATAAACATTGCACTCTATCACAAGTATATTGCTGCTTGATGTCAGTGAATGACATAATAGGTGAGACTTGGAAAACTGTTTATATCCATTGTGGTGCATTTCTTTAGCTGTATAGTTTTTGTGGACCAACTAGGTTTGTCTTAAAAGTGGCAAATGTCTTGTGTGAGCTGATGTAAATACTTTGTTTTGTTTTTTATTAAATTTGTTTTTGTTCACGGGTGTTGTCTTGCTTCTACTCCCATTAACAACAAAGATTTGTTCATGTACAGTTTATTTCTAGAGTATTTAATTGTCACACAGATACAATTTGGTAAATGGTAAGCTAAAAGTCTTTATAGCCAACTTGCACATACTATACTAGAATCATCACCAGCCTACAAATGAAAGCCTTAATATTTGATTTGTGAGGATTTTTAAATAATTCTTTAACATGTAGTCACGTGAAGATTTCCATTGGACTCTGCAGTCTATGCAATAACTTAATTATTTTACTGTAGGACTGTATTGGTCTCTCACATTGTAGTGAAATCCTCTTCTTTTTAATATTGCTTCAGTTCATTAATGTTTATTGGCATTCATTTATGCACAGCTCTTAAAAGCCACACCACACTAGCATTTAAATCTGGTCTGGGTCACTACAACACCTTGACTCTTTTCTTTTTCAAACATTTTATTGTAGGTCGAGGTTGATTCAATGACCGCAAGGTGCCCAAATCCTGTGGATACAAAACAAACCCGAATCATTATCCCTCCACCACCGTGCTTGTGAGCTGATATGTGGTCTTTGCATTGACATGTAGTGTTTTGTACCCAAAATGGCGCTATCCATTATGGACAAGCATCTCTGCTTTAGTCTCATCAGAAACATTGTTGCAGAAGTTTATTTAAATGCAGTTTTTTTTCTAATTGCATTGGAATGTTAACATTTCCGATACTACCTGAGGCTTGTAAAGTTTTTAGCTCTTAGTTTTTTATGCCCCCCCCCCAAAAAAAAGTAAATCCTCCCTAAGAGTTGTATTGTCTGACCTTTGAGTGAATTTTGTGGAATTTCCACTCCTGGTAAGAATGTGGCATTAACAGGGAGCTGAAAGCTCCATTCCAGAAAACTACCAGAAACTCTGCTTTTGTGTTTTTGACCAATTAATCAAGAGCATTTGATAAGCAGCACCTCTTGATTCCTATATAAACAGTTTTTCCACAGGACTGTACTGAGTTCCATGAAAACCTTTTTCAGATGAATGTAAAAATATGTTGTTATGGTGGCTGTGATGTCCCTATAACAATATAATTGTAGTTACAAGACCATCATTGCAACGAACCAAAAATGAGTGAAATAAGTTCTAATATGTGACCGCATAAGATGTATCACTCCTACAGTTAATCTCAACTGTGTAAATTAAATAAATATGCCAAAGTAACTGAAGTACTGGTCAGTTTCTAATACATTTTTGAAACTTTCCAAATGACCATGTCATTGACTCTCAAATATCAGCTACCCACTGAGGATCCTCTTGATTAGGGAGCCAAGTTTTACATACCACACTCCCTCCAAACCTGAAACATGAATAGCAAGATAGCAAGGTTATAATGAGAACTCTGTTTTTAAACTAATTGTTTCTGTACATAAAATTGGACAAACAAGTCTTCTATCTGCTGTGTTTCATTTACCTGAGTTGCTGCTCTGTGGACGATAGAGTGTCTGAGTGCCAGTTTATCAATGTCTCTAGAGTATCCTCCACCAATAACAGCAGCGATAGGGACACCTCTTTTCACCACAGTCTTCAGCACAAACAAATCTCTCTGATAGAGCCCTAAGGGACACTTGAAGTCATTCAAAAAGTCTGTAAGTGATTTGAAGGTAAAAAACACCTGGGTGTAAAACAGAATGGCTCACCTTGGTCTGTCAGGCGAAGCCTTCCGAGTTCATCTTCCCAGTGAGGATCAACTCCTGCGTCATACAAAACCAGGTCTGGGCGAAAGGTTTCCAGCAGCCAGGGAAGGTGGGCTTCAACTGTTGGGTACACCATCAGACATATTAGTGAGTTTTTAGAAGCATCGTCAATGAAAATCATCTCAACGTACAGAAAAAAAAACAGTCGTTTCAAAATCAGCAAAGACAAAAACAACAATTCTCACAAATTGAAAACAGTAGTGCTAGAATTGCGATTCAGTGATTAGATATTTATTAATATGGAGAGTATCTACATACCTGTGGAGAGGTAATCCTTGTCCTCCAGCCCACCCTCCACACTGATATCAAGATCGCTCTGTTGTTTACGAAGTGGGAAGTTTTTCCCACAGTGCACTGAGAATGTAAACACAGAAGGCTCCTCTTTAAAGATGAAAGCGGTGCCATCACCCTGTAGGATGTTTGACACATGAAAAAGGTTTAGCTTCTCAACAAAGACAAATCCTAATCCACAACAGAGACTAGTGTACTCCACCTGATGAACATCTAGATCCACAATGAGAACTTTGCGTTTAGTAGAAGGAGAATTAGGAGAATTGTTCATCGTGTATTTGGCTGCGACTGCAAGATCATTGAGGAGACAAAACCCTGAACCATAGCTGGGAAAAGCATGATGAGTTCCCCCTGCTGTGCTGCAAGCCAGACCCCTCTGCAGAGCGACTTCAGCAGCTAAAACAGTCCCACCTGGCAATGAGAGAGAACGTTAACAGCAAACATAATGCAATCTTTCCGGGTCACGTGTACGTCATGAATTTCTCTCACCCGTTTCATATCGACAGCGCCTCACTATGCCTTCACTCCAGGGAAAGCCTGTCCTCCTTTGCTCTTGCTCACTTATTTTCCCATTTATGAAGTTGTCCAGGTAGTCCTCGGTGTGCACACAGCTCAGTAAATCCTTAGAGGCAATTTCAGGGACCCACACCTACTGTAAGAAAGGAAAAGGCACATCAACAGGAAAATGTGCTTTCCAATAAATACTACTTTTAATAGCAGCAGTGATATTCACTATTAGTTGATCTTGTTATGTTTAGAAACTGGATGCCTGTAAATCATAAAAAGTCCAACTGTTTTGTCAGAAAAGAACAATGCTTGTAGTGACACACAAGCAGGAAAAACGTATTATCTGTCATTTATTATCAAATAATCAATTATAATCACAGGCAGATATCATAAAAGTGTCTCACTCACCTGTTTCTCTGTAATGACCTGATCTCTGAGCAAACACTGTAAAACCCGGGGAAACTTGCCCATTGGAAACCTGTGATTGGGTGGGAGGTCACACACATACTTGCTGTGATGAACTACTGGAAGCGCGCTAGATTCGTGTCTCACCTGCGAGATGAAAAAGGTTAGTTTTATAATGCACCCACTGCGGCGTTCGGGGGAAAAATACTTCAGTTCACTTTGTTTAAATTATCATACAAACTTCTTACTAGTTCAGCATGGAAGCACCTGCAGGAGGTGAGAGCTTCACCAGTCATCAACCACGCGACTTTGGAGCGAGGTCCTTTAGAGAACAGCCGCTTAATGCAGGTCATTATTAAGACAGGAAGCAATGAATGATAGTCGCTTACTTAAGACGGGAGAATGCTACATTATACACAGTTACGATGTTATGAAACGAGACAGGAAGTCCATAAAGTGTCCCGTGTACTGTGTAACGGGATGCTTGGCTGTTACAGCGCCTCCTCAGTCTACTGCTGCCATCTTCTGTTATGGAGTGCAAATAACTTTCTGTGCTGCTGTCACGATTTCTTTCTACTGCTCTGTTTTCTACTATAGTACAACTTGATGGTGAGTATTTTTTTAATCAGTTGTATCCTATCCACAGATTTACACGCATATACTATTTCAGTATTATGCAAAAATTTTGAACCACCTCTTAATGTTTTATCATTTGCTAGGAGAATGTGTGCAGGAGAATGACTTGTCTGAACTCTCGGTAATATAAGTAGTCTTCACAAGTAAAGTAGCGCTCCAGGTTTATTGAAGGACATTTTAAATCTTTTTTTTTTCTTTTTTAGTTGGCTGGTTTTTGTTTTATTCTCTATCAACATGACCCCACACTGCTTTAATAATGTTGAGGAGAAGCTATTCCATCACTGATAGTGATCCGTTATGTGTTTTTCTATCCAGCTGTGCTTTCACTGCGTTAGGATTGTGCTTAGAATGATTGTCATGCTGAAGTGTACTTCTGATGACTGTAAACACGCATTGTTTTACCTCTCTCATTTGGCTTCATCACTCAATAAGAGCTGCCGTCACTGATTTTCAGTCCAGTCCATTTGTTGGGTAATTTAGCATACCTCAGCCATTTCCCCCTGTTTCCCTTCCTTAATAATGCCTTCTTGATAGCCATCCTTCCACTCAGACCATTCATGATGAAGCTTCAGCAAACAGTAAATGGATCGACTGAAGGGCCAGATGCGTCTCTCAATATCGCTCATGTCCTGTATCAAGTCTTATTTTTTCATATTTCTTAAAGACATGAATTGCAGATACTGTTCATCTGGTGGGGATAGTTTTTTTAGGCCTGCTACTTTTTTTCTGCTCTCCACTTGTCCAGTTTCTTCATTTTTAAGGACACACTAAACAGGATGTTTAGTGTTTAGTGTGTGTGTATTTAATTCCTGTCAGACTGTTTTATCTTTGGTATTTTTCATAGATTCAAGTAAAGAAATGGAAACGATTGGTGTTTATGTGACAGGCTGCGCATAACAAAAAATACTTAATTTAAAATTGGTTCTCTAAAATTGTCTGCTATGTGAGGAAAAACAAACACTGGTTTATCCCTTAAGCTAGGCACCTCTTTTATGCTTGAATAATTCTCAAATCAGTGTGATCAACAAACAAACAAACAAAAAGCAAAGTGAAAAAAGCAACAATTTGAAAGACCTTCAGAAAGCCTTAGGAACTATTGCTTAAAACCAATTAAAAGGCAAACAAGAAAGCCAGACTCCTTGGAAACAAAATATTAAGAATGGGGGGTGGAACAAGATTTTTGTAATGTCGTGTGCCTATGTATATGGGTTATTAATGTAACATGCATGCTTCTGTTTGAAATAATTAAATTAAGTACTTGTAAATTCAGTAGTCTATTAAAAAAAAAAAAAAGAAATATATATAT